GGAATAGGCATCGAGGAAACTTATTAACTCGTGCCTGGCCATCGCATCAATCATTTGATCAATGTTTGGCAATGAGAACGAGTCTTTTGGGAACGTCTTTTTTAAGTCCTTCTAGTCTACGCACATGCAAAATTTATTCTTCTTCTTTGGAACTACTACTACGTTAGATAGCAGTTAGGATACTTTACCTCTCGTATCAAACCGATATCTAGCAAGCGAGTTACCTCTTCTTTGACAAATTTGTTTTTGACCTCGGCAATAGGACATTTTTTCTGTCTTACTAGAGGGATGTTGGGGTCCAAGATCAGCTTGTGCACGACCACTTCTGGCGGGATACCTATCATATCTGCATGCGACCATGCGAAACAATCGACATTAAATTTAAGAAATTCAATAAATCTATACCTGAGCTCAGGTTGCAGTCCTGTCCCCAAGTGGATTCCTCTCCAAAAAATTTTCGAACAATGCAAATTGTTCAAGTTCTTTTGCTGTGGATTTTGTAGCATCCGTCTCTTCTGGTACCTGGAAATATCTTGGTACCTTATAGGATTCTGACGAATCCTCCCCCCAGTTTCGGGAGTAGGCGTAGGTTCCTAAAATTTCTATGTCGCTTGCTCCTTCCCTTTGCTACTGGAAACTAATATTGTATTTATCTCCCTTGCTACCGGTTGGTCACCTCTTATTTGCTTAACTCCCTTGGAATTTGGGAATTTGAGCAGCTGATGATATGTTGATGGCACAGCCTTCATCTCGTGCAACTATGGTCTTCCCAGGATGATATTGTAACCCATATCGCCGTCCACCACCTCAAAAAGTGTCATCTTCATCACCCCCTCAGCATTCGTGGGCAGTAGGATCTCTCATCGGGTTGTCAGACTTGCTAGGTTGAACCCGGCGAGGAGTTTTGGGGTCGAAATAATGCTTTCGGTGAGCTTGGCTTGCTCTAACATCCTCCATTGTATGATGTTGGCCGAACTTCCTGTGTCCACCAGAACACGTTTAATTTTAAAATCTAAGACATTTAAAGAAATTACCAACGCATCGTTGTGCGGTAGTAGCAATCCATCTGCGTCTTCCTCTGTGAAAGTTATATCGTCTTCAGCGACTTCCCGAAGTCTCTTGTTGTGGGTCACTGACACCTTCGTCTTTTTTTACCGAGAATGTAACCCCGTTAATATCGTTCCCCCCCGAAAATCATGTTGATCATCAAGCGCGGGGAATCTTCTCCTGCTTTTGAAGTTTCCGCATTATCACGATTGTGATCGTAGTTGTTTTTAGCCCGATCACTTAAACATTCCCTGAGATGACTGTTTTTTAGCAATGTCGCCACCTCTTCGCGTAGATACCCGCAATCCCCAGTCCGATGACTGTTTGTCCCGTGGTATTCGCACCACAAATTAGGATTCCTTTGGCTGGGATCAGATATCATTGGCTTCGGGAACTGTGCTTTTTTAATGTTCCTCATAGCCAACACCAGCTCCACTACGCTGACGTTGAAGTTATATTCGGAAAGCTTGGGGTCAGAAGAATCTTGAGAACCTGACATTTCCTTGTTCTAGAATGACCTGTTATTTCGGCAGTGATCAGTTCTCCTATTGGTAGTGAACCTATCCGCTGACCGAAAACCTCTGTTGCGTCCTTCGGACCGTTTATAAGGCAGAAACTGACCTCTTGAAGATCGTCGATCTATGTCGAAATCATCTCTCGATTTATCTTTTTTCTTCTCCCGATCCCGACCCTTGGCCGACGCCAGAAAACCGAGTTGATCATCCTCAATCCTTATCTTAGACTTGTACCCGTTATGAACATCCGCCCAAGTTGTTGCCTGGAACTCGAGTAAACTTTCTTTCAACTTTCGGGAAGCGTCGGAACTTCTCGGATTCAAACTTTTGGTAAATACTTCAGCCGCCCATTTGTCCGGTACGACCGGTAGCAATATCCTTTCCTTCTGGAATCTAGTCACAAACTCCCGCAGTAACTCGGACTCTCCTTGTGCAATCCTGAATATGTCGGCCTTTCGGGCCCCGGCATGAGTCTTGATGAAAGAGTCCGCGAGCATCTCGAAGGAGTCTATGGAGTGCTCGGGCAAGAGTGAATACCATGTCAAGGCTCCCTTCGTAAGGGTCTCCCCAAATTTCTTCAGTAAAACTGACCCAATCTTGTGGGGAGCTAAATCGTTCCCCTTCACCGCCGTAGTATAGGTGGTGATGTGCTCCTGAGGATCTGAAGTCCTATCATAATTTGGCACGTGTGGCATATTAAACCCTTCGGGATCAATTCTGGTACTGCGCTCGGTTTGAATGGAAGCTGGGTATACTTTTTTGAATCTGATCCTTTTAATACTGGTGGTGCGCCCGGAATTTGATCCATTCAGGCGTTTATTTCCCTCATAAATCGCATGAGTTCGGTTTTAAAGGGATCATTTTCATTGTTGTTACCGAAACCGCTATTGTTCCCCTCGGTCCCATCGAAACTGACCTCGCCCCTTGAGGTGTTGTTGTCGACCCTCTGTGTTGTTTGATTTGCGGAAGCGCCGAGAGGAACTGGACCTCATCCATTCGCATTGTTGGAAGCCCCCGAGAATGCCTGTTTCAGCTCTATCATGACCTTATCCTACCGTGTGAGATTGCCTATAATGGCCTCTTATTGCTCCTTGAAGATCCTTATTGTTTCGACGACGTGCTCGTCTTCAGCATTATCAGGAGTCGCCTCTTTAACATGTCGTGGATATTTCCCGTCGTGAACCAGCGTGGCCTCGTTCCCTTCGTTGCGGGTATCACTGATGGAATCTTCGTCCTGAGGCTGATTTCCCTACGCCCCAACGTTGTGTGTGTTGTTGAGACCATTATCTGCCATTTTTAATAATTTTTGCTAAGAACAAAGAATCAAACAAGTTAGTAATAGATGCAGGAATTAATTCAATTACACAACTGTCTATGCCCCACGATTGGTACCAAACTGTTTACCTGTAAAATGGTACAGTTGAATTTGTACGTGGTTTATAGACAAATGAATCGATTTGATCCAAAAATAATAGATGGATTAGACAAAAATGTAAGACTTGGCCTTGAAATTGAAAGGAAACGACAGATATCTTAGTTTCAGGTGCAGAGCTACCGGAGGCAGTAAGAACAATATAAATAAGCAAGAAAATAAAATGTTATTGAGCTTTTGATGGAATATAATGTATGCGTGTCAGAAAATTCGTCCCCATACAATGGTAATAGAGCTCACTATTTATAATTACACCTAGGGAACAAGGTCCTAGGATCAAACCCCTCTTAAATGACAATTATGAGGGCCGTTGAAGAATATGTAATGGTGGGCAGTGAATGTCATATTCTCTATAACGGATCATGCATTTAATGCTATAGAATATTCTTTATTGAATGCTACCGGATGACAGACATTTATTTTGCCTTTATGAGTATTATTTTCTCTGATGACAAGCGAGATCACTGCCTTCGGATCCGAATATCTTCTTTCTTCGGCTCCACGTGTCGCTTTCTCATTCGATCATTAAATATGAAAATATTTTACCCCATATAAAACTCTTCGCAACAATACTGTTAACAAAGGGTACAGTCGATACCAGGGTTGTTTTGCACTTACACTACATCAAGAAATAGTGAAATGATTGCTTAATTGAGAACATATTTGACCTGTTAAAGGGAAAGAAGAAGAGGAAAAGGAAGAAAAGGAGAGAAGCAATTCCCTGTCTTTAGCACAAAAGGGTGATTCCACCCCATAAAATCAACAGAGACCTAGAAACTTGGAAAAGAAAAGAAAAATATTCCTTTATATCTTTATTTCTCCTTTACCTTTTCCAACAATTGATAAGGTTCAAGGATTTATATTCATTTGATCTCAATGAAATGATAAAGGCCTTTTATCTTCTTAAAGCAACATCATCGGACTGCCATTTAGCAGCCTACATATAGAGACTCCTAATTCCACTACTTTAGTCTAGCATATGCGTTTAGGGAGGCCAGAAATCTACTTACAATGGGCTTGGTAATGAGAATAAGCAAATTTCTTGAGGGCATCTCCAACCCCATCTGCATTTGCTAGGATGCAGGTGGTATTTGGAGTAATTGGTCTCCAATACTGCTGTATTTTTGGCTGCAAAATGGGAAATAAATAGTGTCACTCCAAATTTGTAGTGATACTATTCATCTCCTTCGTTACTAGTCCCTATTACTTTATTATTATTTTTATTATTTAACTCTTTTAATTTATCTCTTTATATATATACCTAATTATGTTTATGTAGTATCTTTATAATATTAATTTAAATCTTAACTTTGGCGTACAATTTTGATAAATTAATTTTCGTGCATTTATTATTTTTATGTAAAATTATAAGTTAATTTTATTATAAGTTGAATAAGAAAAGAATATAAATTATATGTGATGAATATATAAAAAAGAAAAAAAGTTAGAATTTCTTTAATAAAAATAAGAAAATAAAATTTAAATAAAAGATAATAATATAATATTAAAGAGAGAGAAGAATATAAAATAAAATATTCTTTTTTGAAGTAAAATATAGAGTAATGATTAGAGTAACTTTACTCTATTTTGGAAGAGAAAATTGAGGTAAGGGTTGGAGATGGCCTGATAAGAAATCTCAAAGGCCTGAAGAGATCACAGGTTGTGCAGTAATAGGTTACTATATTAATGCATAAATACAGTATTAATGGCACATTTCCTAGTTCCTACTTCCTACCTTCTATATTTGCCTTTCAATATAAAAGGCACTGCAATCAAATCTCGCAGGGTCAAAAAAAATATTTTTCTTCTTTTTATTTGTCTAAGCATTAAGGGATAAAGATATCAGTACCTGTGCTGGTAGAAAGCAGAGTTGTCCAGCGAAATTGACGAGGACGCACAAGCTAACCCCGTTGATGGAACAATGGATTTGATTTGTTCAATTGAGTCCCTAACTTTCAACAAGAAATACAAATATATATGTATATGTGTGAAAAATCACTAAAATGTAAACCAATACTAAAGTTGAACCCATAATTTCAAAAAATTTATAAATTCAGTGGTAAAAATGTTAAATTGAACCCATAAAATATAAATTTTAGATTGGCCTCTTAAACATGAGGCACACCATCAAGTCCATTTGGTGCAGTTCCAGGTTGTCTCAATCCAGCTTCCACATCCCCTGCATCATCAGAGGATGTCGTCTCAGGTTGTTCAAGCAATGATTGCCTACAAGTTGGGCAAGAAGAGTGTGAAGCCAACCAAATGTCTATGCACCTAACATGAAACCCATGGTGACATCTAGGCAAGACTCTCACTTTCTCGCCATCCATAAATTCACCAAGGCAAATTGGACAATCCGTGGCCAGAATATGAACTCCTGATCCATAAACAGCCACCGGAATTCGCCTCAACGTGCTTTTCTTAAGCCCCGTTGCAGCTAAGCGTTCAGCTCGCGCATTTGCTGACTCGAAAGAAAATCTGCGGCTACATCTGAAAGCACACCTGATAATTGAATTTAGACCAAGTGCGCATATTAATGCACAGAGCAGAGCTGCTAGGATAATTATCATGTTGGTGTCAAAACTTGCTTCCTTGGAGTAACCATGAAATGAATTGCTTTCGTTGCTAGTTGGCGGAACAGAATGAGTATTAGGAATTAGCCGCTCTGTACGATAATAAAATTCCATTGTCCCAATCCGATTCTTGTATTACAGCAGCAAAAAGTAGGACATATGAACTGAAATCTGAAAGCCCCTTTCTAATACTTGGCTTCAAACAACTATGACGGTTCTTGTTATGCAAAATTGACTTGCAGTGATCAATGCCAATTCTAATACTGAAAATGGAACCACAAATTAAAGGAGATGGTCATCACATGATCAAACAATTCTTTCTCTGAGTTCCTCACAGCCTCCACGCAAAAAAATTTCTTGGAAGAATTTGTTGGTTCCGTGACTTTTGTGATGGGGAATGAAAGAGGGCAGTATAGAAAATAAGTGGTGGATGTTTTTGTGTTTTATCTTTGATTTCCTTTGAGAGTAGAAGGAAGGGAAGAGACAAATGATGCCTAAATCAAAGCTGCTTGTCTTTTTGGAAAACAAACTGATACCTTTTCTTCCTAAAACCGAGACTAGGCAGTATAATCTGAAGTAAAGTTCAAGAGACAAATGTTTCTATTTAACTGTTTCTTTGCCTTTCAAAGTGAAAAGCTGAGTAATAAAAGTATTAGGAAGGAGGAGATGAGTTATATTTTTTGGGGAGTTGGGTGGTTATACTTAGATGTGGCGAAGGACGAGCAACGTACAGATAAGAAGATACCAAATGAAAGTGAGTTATATCAAACATAATGTTAGGTCTAGTTTTGTACGACGTATAAGAAATAATTAATCTAGGAATTAAATTTAAAAAGAGTTTATTACATGTTTAGTTAGTAGAAAATTACGGTATAATTAATCACGTGATTAGTTATCCCGAAATTATAGTTTTTATTTTATCCTCATGAAAAGGTGAAATAATTAATTCCGAAATAACTAATGCTGGGATACTTAATCCTAGGATACCTTCTTTCAACCAAACGACACCTTAGTATGCTGTCTTTTCAAAGGTTTGTTGTCACGTTAAAAATTTAAATTTAATAGGTTATATGTTTAAGATTTTCAACACGCTCACTGTTTCTAAAATTAAGGATTCAATTTTCTATATAGTACTCCAATCCACTTTAATTAATTTTGATTGTTTCATACATATTAAAAAATTCATCTTTTAGTATTAATTAACAATAAAAATGATCATATTAACCTTAATTTGTTCATTGAAAATATAACAAATACTCTTAGGCTCTCTATTCCAAAGATAACTATGGAAAAAAGAAGTCAATTCTTTTTTTTATATCTAAAAAAATTAAATATTATGGACTACAAAAAAAACTAAAAAAATCAATTAAAATGAACAGAAAGGAGTATATGGTTCACATCGAAAATGGTTTAAATGAACTCTATGCCTATAAGCTGCACCGCCACTGCTTCATGTCTTTACTAATGGGAAGTTTGAGATACTAGTACTACCAAGGGATGTAATTGAATGATTGTGATTTTTTTATCCTTACATCTTGTTTGGATGGCTGTAGCACATTGTATCGTATTGTATTGTTATTTCAAAACAATGTTTGTTTTGATTGTTTAGTTAAAATTAGTTGTATTGTATTGTTAAATCCACTGTTTCGGAATAATGAAAAGTCCCATTTTTTGAAACAACCGATTTAGTGTGGTGGGATTGTTTCCTACTTTTCTTTTTAATTATGCCATAACTTATTACTCTATAATTCTATTTTACCTTTTACTTATTTTTTTTTTAATCCAAATATCCTAACATATAACCTATATCTTCATTCCTTTATCCTTTCGCCGCTTTCAACTCCAACGTCAGGTATAGTTTTTGCCTTCTTTTTGTTTTGTTCTTTCTTCTATTTTGATTTTCAACTCCAATTCTAATTATTTTATCTCCAATTAGCCGTATAATATTGATTTTTAATTTCAATTCTAATTACTTTATGTATAGTTCTTTATAATATTTAAAACAATTAAGGGTATTTTAGTAAACTTATCAGTTACAGTACAGTACGATACAGTCAAACCAAACAGTAAAATGTTATTTGACAACAGCAAACAATACAATCTATCCAAACATTGTATTAATAAAACGATACGATACAATACAATACCATACAATACAATACGATACATTATAAAACGATGGGTAACAATGATCCAAACAAAGTGTTAATTAAGGTTTAGGGTACAAAATTTGGAAATGAAGAATAATCCGGTAGGGAACGCTTAATCCCCAAGTTGACCTACCAGACGCGAATCCAAATTAGTTGGATCAATGAGTTTAAGATGCCAAATAAATTTTTTAAAAGGAAATATTAATACTGAATTGTATAACCATGTAGAGAAACTTGGGTAGGAGGGATGTTAAGAATGTGGATTATGGTACCTGAACCCTCTCTAGTCAGAATAAGTTTCACACCACAAATGTTTAAAATGTTATTCTAGCACCAAATCCTTAAAAAATGAAAAGAAAAAAGGAGCAACAAATCCTTTTGCCACTCCATCATTCCTCTAAAATTGATAGGCAAATAAATCAGTCTTCTTTACTTTATTTAATCAACTTCCCTGATTAAATTCAGAGATCAAGATAAAGTTAGCTCAATCCGTTGCCTAAGAAAAATTACCACCTTTACCTTCCGTCTCTCTTTTTTTGTCCATTTTGATCCTAACCAAAAAAAGGATAGAAAAGAAGACGAACTTTTCTTCCAATATTATATTAGTGATGCCAATTTCCCTCTTTAACTGTGGATTTTGAAGTTCAATGGTCTAGAACCAATTCAACAATTTCACCACAAAAGCAACTGGTCGTGTCATTTTTACTTAACCTAGTATAATCGTGATCAGCTGGTCACTTTGAATGTTTATACCAAACCTAGCATTTAGGACCCTTTTTATTTATTTATATATGTTAGTTGCATTCAAAAAACAAACTTAACTTAATATATAATGTAATAAGTTAGGAATATTATGGAGCTCTTACCCAAGAGTTGGTTTTCTTCCAGAATTTCATCCTACTTGTGCAAAGTTTTCTTATAGTATGTACAAATTCGACTTTTATTATTGATTACATGATGTGAATTATGGCAGGTAACTCACAGTAAATAATTTTCTCTCGTTGCTTGTAAGCTTATAGCATTGTAATGTAGGAACCTTCTTGTATCGAGTACATTGAATGGCTTTGATGTTTATCTTCTTGTCTTAAATTTTGAAAGAGATGTTTGGAAGTGGTGGTGGTATAGTGGAATTGCCTGTGTTTGGGCAGCACTAAAGGGGTATGTATGAGGAGGAGAGTGGTTTTGGATGTCCAGTGACTTACGCAACTAAATCTTGGCCAATCCACACACTACATAACTTACTCATACGTTTACGTACCTCAAATAATGAATGCAAAAATTAAGTTGTGAACATAAATTTTTATCAAATATGTATTCTTACTCTAATATGTGACATTTTTAATTAAATTATTTGACTTTGTTCTGAACATTATGTGCAAATAAATATTTTCTGACAATTAACAATGAACTCACATGGCTAGACTAGTGTCCCTGTTCCCTAATCACTCTTGTTCCATTTATGTTCCAGCGGGGTCATGTCACGTCTCACTCTCACCTACTTTATGTACATCGCATTTAAATCTTCATAATTTCATACTTTACAAAAACTAAGATATCCTCTCTTTTTCTTTCTATATATATATATATTGTAGTTTTAGTGTTATCATCATAGAAGTAAACGACTATAGCCACCAAGAAGGAATGAAAAGCAGAATGATAGTGTTTGATTAGCTTTGTGTTAGTCAAATGAAACCATGATAACTACATTAGCTTAGCATGCAATATTTGAGCTAGCACATTGAGGAATTTGTACGGGGTAAAATTGATAAACGACAGGTGGATGCTCGACGAGTTGATTAGTAGAAATAAAGACAGGTAAGGTATGAGTCAGCAAATAGTTGGCACCGAAAACAAACATGTGACTGGCGCTGAATAAGTTTCAAAGGCATTGGAACCGAGAATGAATATTTGAAAGAAAGACATCAGTTGGAAAAGATAACATTCAATGAGCAGCCGTTACAAAAAATCTTTCTATTAATGTCTAACCGTTATGCAGCCATCAAGAGGGGTTTTATTCACATTAAAGAAGAGCTTGATTTGAGGATCTTATCTCCCTGAATAGAGCTATAATTAGGTGAATTTGTATTCATTATAGGACATGAAAAAAATCATCCGTACACAAAAGCTAAAACCTGTTCTTATTCTATCACACTACTCTCTTTCTTTTGTTCTTGATATTGCTCTTATTATTTCTTTCGGAGAAACTAAGTCCGCAACCAGGCTTGTATTTTCCTCAAGTTGTTTTAATAATCTTAGTTCTAATCTTACTCATTTTATATTTTTGGATCAAATTAATTCACATGTCTATAAATCATGTTACAAATTCAACTATACCATTTTACGAGTAAACAATTTGGCCCAACAGGCATAGACAATTGTGTAATTACTTTGATCCATTCATCTGTTACTAACGCAGTTTGATTCTTTTCTTTAGTAAAGAAAAATCAGATATGGCAGCTAACGATGTGAACAATTCTTACAATGTTGGAACACACAACGAGTCTGAGGATGTGTTCCAGCATGATGATTCAACTAGTGAAACTCGCAACGAAGGAGATGAAACAACTCAGGTTCGTGAAGAACAAAATCCTTGGCATGTCATAATTCCAACTCCTGATGATATCGATGATGAACATGTCGTGGAAACGGTCAAATTTTGAGGGAGCAACAAAGGGAAATTATGAAGCATCTCTCAAGACAAGACCAGGTAATGATGGAGTTGAAGCATGCGCTTTTAGTTGCTTCTAATAACTCCAATGGAGGAATTCGAGTTCCTCCCAGCGTGACTGCAAATCAAACAGTGCAAAGAACCGGTAACGTCGATTCGAGGGAGGATTTAAGTTTTAATGAAAATGAGGCAAGTAGTGCTGGGCAAGTGGTGCTGGTAGTGGATTCGGGAAAGACAACAACACCAATGATCCTTTCAAAACTGAGCTCATGAGATTCATGAGGGAAATGAATGAATGAATGAATGAATGGACCAAAATGCTAAAGAATCCCATGCCCGGATGTATCAGATCTCAGGAGCACCACTAGTGTTGAAGGGTCCGAATTCAAAGAAGTATACACAGTTGCCATTCAAACCAAGTGCGGCCCTAGAACTAATTCTGAAAAGATTCAAGATGCCTGATATTCTGAAGTATAATGGGACTTCGGATCTACAAGAGCATATCACAACTTACACTATGACTGTAAAAGAAAATGACTTGGCCCTGCACGAGATCGAATCTGTATTGTTGAATAAATTTGGCGAAACCTTAACGAAGGGTGCTTTAATATGGTATTCTCTTTTACTTGAGCATTCAATTGATTCTTTTGAAATGGTTGCAGATTCTTTCATCAAAGCTCATGCTCGGGCAAGGAAAGTCAAAGCTAGGAAAACATACATATTCAGAATCTCTCAAGGAGAGTCTGAACTGTTGCGAGAGTTCGTAATCTAGTTTCAAAAGGAGAGGATATTGTTGACGGCAGTACCAGATGAGTGGGCTACTGAAGCGTTCACCAAAGGTCTCAATCCACTGAGCTCTAATGCCCCCAAGAAATTGAATAAAAGATTATTAGAATGTTAGGCAA